CGCAATAACAACCAAAACAGAATCCCCCTCGTCCTCACGTACCACCCCACCAACCTCCGGATCCAACGCATCATCCTCCGACACTTCCACCATCTGCAATCCGACCCCACCACCAAAGACATTTTTCCCTCCCCACCCTTATCTGCTTTCCAGAGGGACCACTCTCTCCGTGACTCCCTTGTCCGCTCCAGCCCCACCACACCCGGCACTTTTGCCTGCAACCGCAGGAAGTGCTACACCTGCCCCTACACCTCCCCCCTCACCCCCATCCCAGACCCCAAGATGACCTTCCACATCAAACAGATGTTCACCTGCACATCTGCTAATGTGGTATATTGTATCCGCTGCTCCCAATGTGGCCTCCTCTACATCGGGGAAACCAAGCGGAGGCTTGGGGACCGCTTTGCAGAACACCTACGCTTGGGAACCCTGCAGCCCAATGATATCAATATGGACTTCACAAGCTTCAAAATCTCCCCTCCTCCGACCGCATCCCAAACCCAGCCCAGCTTGTCCCCACCTCCCTAACCTGTCCTTCCTCCCACCTATCCCCTCCTCCCACCTCAAACCCCCCCCCCATCTCCTACCTACTAACCTCATCCCGCCCCCTTGACCTGTATGTCCTCCCTGGACTGACCTATCCCCTCCCTAACTCCCCACCTACACTCACCTTTACTGGCTCCATTCCCGCCTCTTTGACCTGTCTGTTTCCTGTCCACCTATCTTCTCCTCTATCCATCTTCTATCCGCCTCCCCCCCCCCCCTATTTATTTCAGAAACCCCTTCCCCTCCCCATTTCTGAAGAAGGGTCTCGACCCGAAATGTCAGCTTTCCTGTTCTCTGATGCTGCTTGGCCTACTGTGTTCATCTGCTCTACACCTTGTTATCTAACATACTTGTCAATCTTCTTTCAAGTTTCACCACATCCTTCCTATAGCAGGGAGACCAGAATTGAACGCAGTATTCCAAAAGTGGCCTAACCAATGTCCTGTACAGCCGCAACATGTCATCTCAACTCTTATACTCAATGCACTGACCAATAAAGGCAAGCGTACCAAACGCCTTCGTCACTGTCTACCTGTAATTCCACCTCCAAGAAATGATGGACCTACACCCCAAGGTTTCTTTGTTTGAAAGCACTACCCAGGGCCCTACCATTAACTGTATAAGTCCTGCCCTGGTTTTCCTTACCAAAATGCAACATCTTACATTTGTCTAAATTAAACTCCATTTGCCACTTCTCAGACCATTGGCCCATCTGATCAAGGCCCTGTGGTACTCTGAGATAACCCTCTTCGTAGTCCACTACAGCACCAATTTTGGTATCATCTGCAAACTTATTAACCATTCCTCCTATATTCACATCCAAATCATGCTTTCTGAACAAAAGTTGTTGTTGGCATTAAGTACAGGGCTACAGAAGGGAAACACACTGTTTGAACCTAACAGCCATGATGAGCCGGGGGTCAAAATATATTCTTTTTCAGGTTTTCAGGAGCTCCTTTTGTATGCTAATTTGACCCCTTTATTATATTTTATCATATCTTCACCAATTATAATCTGTATTTGTGACAATTTGTTTTAAAGGTTTCTTTTTTGTTTAGAAAAGATGGCATAAATACTTAAGACAGTACAGATTATGAAATTTTCATTTGGAACCAGTAAATAAGATGCTTTTTGTTAATTTGTTATAAATAAATCTTACCCTCCCTTTCCAAAATGAAAATTCAAATTACTTGACAAAAGGTATCTTATTGGGAATGAGGCTCACATCTGTGTCTTCCTTTAAAATTTAATTGCTAGCCATTAGTGCTGTTCAGCAATCATTGATCTTCCGCCGCTAACTTTACTGTTCCTCCTGCTCAATGTTTGCGTTTAAAGTGAGCACTAAAAATTACATCAGGGTACTGACTTCCAAAGGTTCAACTCTGCAAAAGGGGAATACACACAAATTAATAACAAAAACAGAATTTGCTGGAATAGCTCAGCATGGCTGGCAGCATCTGTGAAGAGAAATCAGAGTTAGTATTTCAGGTCCTCAGTGGAAGGATCACCAAACCTGAAACATTAACTCTGATTTCTCTTTGGGGAGTCAAGAGATGCGTAACTTGCAGTAGTATTCTTAGCCTCCGACCTGCTCTGTAGCCGCTGTGTTTATATGACAAGTCCAGTTGATTTTCTGGTCAATGGTAACCCCCAGGATGTTGATAAACTGTCAACATTTGATTCAGTGAAGGTAACACCATGAAATGTCAACGGGCAGTGATTAGATTATCTCTTATTAGCTTGACATTTGTGTGGCGCGAACTTGTCTGACCAAGCCTGGATATTATCCAGAACTTGTTGCGTGTGAACACGGACTGCTTCAGTATCTGAGGAATCACAAATGGAGCTGAACATTGTGCAATCATTGGCGAACATCCCCACTTCTGACCATATGATGGAGGGAAGGACATTGATGAAGCAGCTGAAGATTGTTGGGCCAAGGACACTACCCTGAGGAACTCCTGCAGAGGTGTTCTCAAGCTGAGATGACTGACCCCCAACAACCACAACGTCTTCCTATGAGTCAGGTATGACTCCAAGTAATGGAGAGTTTGCTCAATGATACCCATTGATTCCAGTTTTGCCAGGGCTCCCTGCTGCCACACTGAATACGGCCTTGATGTCAAGGGCTGTCACTCCACCTCACCTCTGGAATTCAGCTCCTTCGTCCATGTTTGAACCAAGGCTGTAATGAGATCAGGAGCTGGCTGGCCCTGGTGGAACCCAAACTGGGCGTCACTGTGCAGGTTATTGCTGAGCAGGTGCTGCTTGATAGCACTGTTAGTGACACCTTCCATCACTTTTCTGATGATCGAGAGGCGACTGATGGGGTGATAACTGGCCGAGTTGGATTTGTTTTTCTTTTAATATACAGGACCTCCTGGGCAATTTTCCACATTGTCACGTGGATGCCAGTATTGTAACTGTACTGGAAGAGCTTGGCTAGAGGAACAGCAGGTTCTGGAGTGCAAGTCTCCAGTACTATTGTCAGAATGTTGTCAGGGCCCATAGCCTTTTCAGTATCCAGTGTCTCCAAACATTTCTTGATTTTACATGCAGTGAAGCAAACTGGTTGACTCTGTAATGGTGGGGACCACTGGGAGAGATGAATCATCCACTCGGAACTTCTAGTTGAAGATTGCTGCAAACACTGATGTGCTGCGCTCTTCCATCATTGAGAATGGGGATATTTGTGGAGCCTCCTCCTCCAGTGAGTTGTTTAATTGTCCACCACCTGGATATGGTAGGACTGCAGAGCTTAGATCTGATCTGCTGGTTATGGGATCTTTTAGCTCTGCCTATCACCTGCTGCTTTTGCTGTTTGGCATGCAAGTAGTCCTATTTGGTGGCTTCACCAGGTTGGTACCTCATCTTCAGGTATGCCTGGTGCTGCTCCTGGCATACTCTCCTGCACTCTCCATTGAACCAGAGTTGATCCTCTGGCTTGATGGTAATGGTTGAGTGGGGGATATGCCGGGCCATGAGGTTACAGATTGTGCTGGAGTACAATTCTCCTGCTGTTGATGGCCCACAGCGCCTCATGGATGCCCAGTCTTGAGTTGTTAGATCTGTGCGAAGTCTGTCCCATTTAGCACGGTGATAGTGCCACCCAACACGATGGAGGTTGTTCTCAATGTGAAGGTGGGACTTCGTCTCCACAAGGACTGTGCGATGGTCACTCTTACCGATACTGTCATGGGCAGATGCAACTGCAGCTGGCAGATTAGTAAGGATGAGGTCAAGTATGTTTTTCCCTCTTCTTGGTTCCCTCACCACCTGCTGCAGACCCAGTCTAGCAGCTATATCCTTTAG